TTTTCATTTTATATTTTTTATTAATAAATAATATATTTCCTTTATATTTTATAATAATAAACAAAAATGTGATTATCAGTAATAAGAAAAATGAAAATATATAAATAAAAGTTACTGATAGGTATCCGATAGTAAGAAAAAAGCTTCCAATATTGAGAAATATACAGTGACCGATATATACCTGATATACTATACCGATATATTGAAGATATGTGTCTAATAAAAAATAAATGAAATTGGGTACCCAATAAGTGTATGATATATTTGAAAAAAATGCCAAAAAATCGGAGTTTGATATGTGTCCGATATCTATTAATATGTATCCAATATGTGTTCGAACTTTGGCACACTTACTCTACCTATCGGAAACCTGATATATTAAAATTTATTGAAAATCGGACACCTATCACATATCTATCAGGTACCTGATAGGTGTATGATAGGTGCTGATTTTTCACAATTTGACCAGTGGAATTAATTATAGTTGAGATTATTTTTCAAATTTCACTATTTTTAGAACTGTTTGAATCTTATTTGAAACTATTTTTAATCTAACTCGAGGTGAAGAGAAAACTCATTTTTTTTATAATATTTGATTTGATCAGTAAGTTGGTTAAAATTTGATTAGTAATTGTGCCAATCAGTTGATCACTAAGTTGGTCAATCAGTTGGTCACTAAATTGATCAATAAATTGGCTAGTAGCTAGGTTACTATGATTTACATTATTGATTTACATAATTTGTATTATGCTAATAAATAGATATTAATTATAACTAATAAATAAAATATATTAAATAATTATATTAACAAAATAAATAACAAATAAGAAATAAAATAATAATAAATAATAAAAATTATTAAAGTAGAAGGAACTCATAGTAACACTGGAAATAATATAATTAAAAATTTTAATATTTCTAATAAGGATTATTAGTGAAATTAGCTTTATAGTAAATAGATATCAAATAATTTTTGACATGTCTTTAGGAAGGACGATTAACCTTATAATCATTTTAATTATAATTATTCTGTATAAAATATTATTCACAATTGAAATTTTATTAAGTAACAATTCTCAATGTTAATCATTTATTTATACAAAATTAAGATTATAAATTTAACATCAAAAATATTTTAAAAAATTTTTCAAATCTCAAAAATAAATATATGTATAGTAACTATTGTTTTAAAATCTATTGTATAATAACTATTGTTTTAAAATCCATTGTATAGAAACTAGAATTTTTTAAAGAGATAAAATTTTATTAGAACAAATAAAAAATTGATTATAAAAAAAACAAAGTCAATAAAATAATAAAAGAAATTTTTACAAAGTTTACAAAAGAAAAATGTGATAAATAGTTAGAAAGGTATAAAAAAAAAAAGAAAAAAAAAGATCTAAATTTAAATGAAGCAATATAACAGAAGAATATAATGAACAAGTGAACCAATAATTAATAATATATCTTTAAATATTATATTTTTATAAAAAATATTAGTAATTTGACTATTTACCTTTACCTAATTAATTATATGTAAAAGTTCAAAATAATTATATAACTTATAGAACTTTATATTCAAAAAATTCAATTTTTTTTTGATTTTGATTACAATTTACATGACAGAGGTAAGTTTTTACTAGAATGATTTTATAACAAATTGAAAGTTCTGATTCTTGATTACAAGGCAATATGTATTTCATTCCTGTAATATTAATATTTGTATTTAAAGTTTATATGTGAAAATTTAATTGTAAATTTTATAATTCTCTGAAAATTTTTGTAATGTAATAGAAATTTTCTAGTAGAATTATGAAAAAGTTATAATTAAATCTTTTATGGATGTTCAACTTTGAATGTGAATAACTTTGCAAATATCAATTTTACAGGAATGAATATATATCATCTTGTAGTCAAGAATTAAGGCTTTTGATCTATTATAGAAAAAACCTTAGTAAAAAAATTTTCTCTGACATGTAAATTATGGCCAAAGTCAAAAAAATTAATTTTTTAAAATTTTTATGTCTAATTAATTTTTTCTGATATAGACATTGATCATAGTTATACTTGCATGCAAAATAGTTATCATAGTAAGTTGAAATAGTTTTTTATAGAAGATAATTTGATTTTTACTTAAAATCCAAAATTTTTTGACCACCTAGATAAATTCTTTGATTGAAAATGCATTTACATTAAACTGGATATTTTTTTTATTTCCATATATAGAATAGAATTTCAAAAATCTTGAAAAGACAATATCTCAAAAATTAGAAATCAATTTTGGAAGTATAGTCATGATCATTTAGATTAAAGTATAAATTTAATATACAATATGTAAAATTTTTAATTTTTAATAAAGTATCTAAAATGATCTCAATGGTTAAAAAAAATAAATAAGTAAATATCAAAAATGATATTAAATAAACTCAAAGACAAATATTACTTCAAAATTGAGCAAATTATTATGTTTTAAAATTTTTGCCTGTTCAAACTTTAACACCCAATAGTTCTCTCAATTTTGAATATATAAGTCCATCATTTTTATATAATACGCAATTCATTCTTATCTTTAAGGTTATTTAGTACCTTTTTTAATATTTACATATAAAATAAAAAAATTTTACATGCAGCAACCATTGATGATTATTTCTGATCTTATATACAATTACATTATGATTTAATTACGGCATTATGGCAAATAGTTGCAACTCATAAAAATAATTATGGCAGGTATCTTTAAAGACAAAAAGCTGTGTTATATACTTTGTGTATTATAAAAATAATTAACCTATCTCTAGCTTTGAGCAATTATTGTGAGAAGGCAAGTTTCTTTTTATTAATTCAATTTTTGGATATTCTGACCTATTATTCATCTGTTATTCGTTTACAATTTTGTACATCTTTTTTTGTTTACAATTTTGTATTTTTATACACTTTATTTATCTTTATCTTTTTTTTTTTAAAAAAAAAAAAATACTTGTGTGATTAAGTGAATATGTTTTAACATGGTTTACATCTTACAAGTTCATATTATTTTCTACTGGGAGGTAGAAATCGTGCATTGATTGTCTTATAATGATATTCTAAATTAGTCGATTTATCATCTGCATTGTTACGTCTGCAATATTGTAAATCAGGGGAGGATAATTGATCGTCTGCGTTGTTCCGTCCATTTTTCTGTCTATTATAATAATAAATGCAATATTGTAATCGAGAATTATAAAAATAAAACAATAAACAAATTAGATGTAATACATAAGTTATTTAGCTTACACTAAAAAAATGCGCGTAGAGCAATTAATTATTTCATTTCTTTTGAAATTACTCTTAATCGGTCTGTTAGAAAAGAATCTATTTAATCCATTTGTTCTTCTTTACGGGTCTTGAAGACTTTCTTGACTTTTCCTTTGACCGTCTTGATGGATTTTGAAATGATCGGAACTTTAAATGAAATTGATGGTTGTTCATAATTGACTTCTTTATTTTTCTTTATAGTTAATTCTAAAGTAACGTCTGGAATAAAAAAATCATATTAATAAACACAATAACTATAACAAATCAAATCAAATAAATCATACCTCGTAATTCATTTCTTAATCGTTGCACTTCCTTGATTAAACGATCTTTTTCTTCTAATTCGATTTTTTCAAGAGTCAAATGATATCTATCTTCTGATTCGATCTCATGAACTGCAATTTGTTCAATTAATTCATTATATTTATATTCCATATCTTGAAGAGAACTTTTCGTAACTCTATAAATTAAAAATCTTTAATGTTAACGAACGAAATCAACTAACTCCTATATACACACATATATATAAATATGTATAACTTGCCTTTCACTTCTTTCCAAATCATCATTCTCTAATTCCAATTCCCTAATTTGGTTATTATACATTTCTTTTTTCTCTTTTAAATTTTCGAGTTCACGTTCCATTTTCTCAATTCTCATGGTGGTTGCATTGTCGTCTGATCTGATTTGATTATACTTTGTCTAATATAAAAAAAAAAAAATCATTGATAACAAAACTATAAATGTATTAAATATTCAAATATTCAAAGATAAATTTTACCTTCCAATGGTTAACTTCGTTATTCGATGTTTCAATTTTCACCTTTAATTCCGAGTTACGTTTTTCTGAAGCCTCTAATTCGTGAACTAAATCATCTTCGTATTCGTGAGAAGTGATACGAAATTCTTCCAATTCAATTTGAATTTCTTCTTTTTCAGTTTCTAAAATTTCGATCTTCTCTTTATAAAATTGAATTTCTTCTTCCATTTCTTTTTCAACGGTCTCAAAAGTTCTATTCGAAAAAGAAATAAAAGAATTAATAACAAGATAACAAAAAATGTTCGTCTCAAAGATGTATTACTTACTTACCTTTCGGTCATATTTAAATATATTTATAGTTTTTTTTTTTTTTTTAAGATAAAGATAAGTTACGTGAAAGAAAACGGGTGGTAAAGTATAGATAGTAAAACAACACTATTAAGTTACGCGAATCGAAGCAGTTAAACTAATAATTAAGTAGTTGCAAAATTTATTGAATTCAATGTTTAAGATTTCATTGCACGTCACCAATTTTTCTTTTGGTATTCGAAATGTTAATCAATTTTGAAATTTGTTCATTGTTGTTTATTGTTGTGTAGATGATAATTTGATAATTCTAAAGATGGCAAATTTAATTTAAATATATTCTATATATATATTATAAATTATATGCTTTAGTTACACTGCATAATGTTTTTTTTAAAGAATATACGAAATAAATGATTTTTTTGTGGGAAAAAAAAATTCATTAAGTAATAATTTAATAAATTTTATTTATTGATTTATATATTTTTTATTATTATTTTATTTGATGATTTAAAGTTTTTTTTTGCAAATTAAAAAAAAACTCTAGTTGCTGATATAATTAAACATATATATATATATACATATATATATATAATAATAGTAATAAAGTAATAGTAATAATAATAGTAGTATAGTAGTGGTAGTAGTAGTAAAGTAGTAATATAAAGTAGTCTAAATCTAAAAAGGAAAAAAAAAAATAAAGAAAAGAAATAAAAGAAAGAGAAATAACCCAAGAAACCAAACCCGTTGTATATAAAATAAAATTTTTTTATCTCCTTTTAAATGCAAAGATAAATAATAAAAATAAAAAAAAAAGAAAATGTATATATGTGTAATATATATTTTATATCTCTATCTATATAATATTTTGTATAATAATCTGTATATATATATATATATGCTATATAAGTATATAAAAGTCTAAGTTTTTATTTCGTCTATAAGAATAAAATAAAAAAAATAAAGAATAATAAAAAATAAAAGTGAAAAGAAATATTTTTCTGTACATTAAAATGTTGTTGATGGTGATTGTTGTTGTAGTTGTAAGGTGTTTGATTTGGTGGTGTTTTAACTACGATATTTATATAAAAGAGAAAGAAAGAAAAAAGAAAAAAAAAAGCAAGTTATAACAAGAGAATAAATATGGGAGAAAGATATTATTATTAGAGATAGAGAGATATACGAGAGATATAGGTGTGATCGAGTTCAATTTGGTTTGGACTAAAAAAGTTATGACGAATATTCATTGGTTGGTTATGTTTTGATGACTAATTTTTTTTTTTTTTGGAAAATTACTAATTACTTTGCAACGTGCATTTTTTCATTTTTTTTTTAAAAAAAGAGACGAGATTTGCACTACTTGTTAATATATATACTGTATATATATATGTGGAAAATATTAATTATATAAAAATGTAAAATAATTATAAAATGTAAAGAAAAAAAAATAGTTTGTAGTGAAATTAACCAAAAAATAAAGATCAATAATCTATTGAACATTATTTAAAAAAGAGGAACATTAAAGAAAATAATGAAAAGAAAGAAAAGAAGAATGAGAATGAGAAGTAAATGGAACCTGCCCACGACTTCAATGGTCAATTCACCAAAACAATAAAGTCGTCATTATAAAAATATTTTCTCTCTCTATCTATCCATCCATCCATCCATCTATCTATAAATAAAAAATTGAAAAAGCACGAAAGAAATACATATTATAATGTCCTAATATAATAATAATAATAATATAATATAAAAAAAAAAAAAAAATAAATAATATAAAAATGATTTTTTTTATTTAAAACTTTTTTACACTTTTTTTCTTTTCTCTATTATTATTATTATTATTATTATTATTATTATTGGTGGTTGTTGTTGTCATTGTTATAATTAAAATCCGAAATTCTCTTTAATCTTAAAAATCCCATTTTTGATAATCTTGTGTACTCCTCACTAATATTTTTAAAGTTTCAAAGTGGTATAAATTGCATTCAGTTGCCTTTGATCTTCAGTATTTATTTTATCAACCTTTTCCCATGGAATATCTTGAGGTGGTAATTGAACACCACCAGATTGTGAATGTGGAGGATATGAAGCTGGAAATGAGAATTGAGGTGGTGGAAAAGTATATCTTTGAGCTGGAATATTAATAGGTTGAGTTCCATTTCCAAATCCACCTCCATTATTATTATTATTATCCGTTGCTGATGACGTTGACGATGATGATGATGATGATGATGATGATGGAGGAGGTTGAATATAATTGGAAGGAGGATAAACAGGTAATGAAGCCGTACTACTTCCAGCATGATGTTGAAGATAACTATGTCTACCATAAAAATTAGGTAAATCTTCTTCGGTAGTTGAAGGGGATGAAGAGAAAGAAGGAGTAGAGCAAGGGGAATGAGAATCAAATTGCATTGGTTCGGCAGATAAACGATGATGTTGTTGTTGATGTGAATTATGAGATTGAATTTGCCAAGGAAATGGAATAGGTGAAATTGATCTTTCCATGGGATCATTATTAACATTAAAACCGGAATGACTATTATGATGATGATGATGTTGTTGTTGTTGTTGATGATGATGATGATGATGATGTGATGGATTATTATTATTATTACCACCATTATTATTATTATTATTATTATTATTATTATTATTATTATTATTATGATGATGATGATGATTACCGTTACTATAATGATGAACGGATGAATGAGTTACACCATCAGAAGTATCGGGATACATTCCTTTAGGTATATGAATAATTTTAAGTTTTTCATCATGAGTTGGGATTTGAAGTTTTTCATTAATAACATCAGCTTTAGTATAATAACATATCAAATGAAGTTTTTGATGAGATGTGGTTGTTATACTAAAAGATTGTTTAACGAGACCACCATGTTTATATCTACATTGTTCTGTGGCTGAAGAAGATATTGATGATGATTTTTTATTTGAAGAATGATAAGATTCACTTGAATCAGTATCTTCACTTGATAAATCATGAGGATTATTACTACCTCTGGAATTTGATTTACGTTTTGATTCTAATTCTCTATAAGTTAAAAAGCTACCACTAACTCTACTAGCTGACCAACTTTTACCATCTGTCCATCTTCTCATACCAGCTTCACGTTCATCCCAAACAAATACTGATCCAGAACGAATTGACGATCTTTCTTTTTCACTTAATCTTCTCTGTATACGAGATAAAATACCCATTCTACAAGCTTCAAATAATAAAATAGCATCTTGAGGTGTTTTAACGTAACCGAAATATGTTTCCATTGTAGTTTGTTTATTCGTTGTTTGTTGTTTATTAAAGTTATCCGTGGTTACTAGCTGTTGTTATTTGTCGTCGTCGTTGTTTATTGAAACTAGTTATTATTACTAGTTAAACTGTTGTTGTCGTCGTCGTCGTCGAAGTAGTCGTTGTTGAAATGATCCTATTATATTTGTATTATTATTGTTGTATTGTTATATTGGAAAGAAAAGTTTTATTAGTAAATTAGTTATTATTATTATTATTATTATTATTATTATTTTATTTATTTATTTATTTATTATTAAATATTTAATATTAATGATTGATTATTTTATATATATATGAAATAAAGTATTTACGTAAGTGAGAAGTGTATTGCGACATATAATTATTAATTAAAAAATAAAATTATTCAAAAAAAACAAAATTTTTTTTTTTAAGAAAAAAAAAAAGGGAGGGGGGAAGAGAGAATGAATTTATATAATTTTTTTGGTTTTATAATTTATTATCACGTTAAAGTTAAATCAATTATTAATCCAAAAAATAACCAAAATAAACTAAAAACGAGTGATAAACAAAATGTCGTAATGAATGTTGCATAAATGGGGTCGGGGGAGGAGACGATAAAAATTATATTTTTTTCAATGATAATTACAAATAATAATAATTATTACTATTATTTTATTCTTATTATTAATCTAAGTCTCAAATCCGTCACCACTTCTCGAGAAGTGATACCGAAATATATATATATCGAGGGAGATATATATAAAAATTCAAATTTTTAAAATACTTACCGAGCGGGATATTGAGATATTCGAGATATTTGAGACGTTTGATACAAAAAAGTTCGTTCTTTCTTTTTTTTTTTTTTTGCGGTGCGATATAAAAAATATAAAGAATATATACTTTTTAAATTTTTTCTATTCTATGTGTTAATATTTTTTGGTTGTTATATTTTGGTGGTTGTAGTTTTTGTGGTGTGAGTGAATTTTTTAATAATACAAAAGTCTACTACTAATGTTAATTTTTTTACTATCTTTTTTTTAAAAAATTTTAATTTTCCCACTATTTGATCAATCAATGACCGAAGAGTAAGAAAAAAGGTAGAGTTTTATATATGTATGGATGGTTTTTTTTTTAAGTCAACACAACAAGGTTGAGTTTTAAAAATGATGGAATTTTTTTTATTATTAATATTATTTATTTATTTTATTATTAATATTATTTATTAATATTAAGAAAATGAAAAAAAATAAAGTAGAAGAGAAGAAGAGAAAAAGAAATTTTTTCTAAGGTGATTTTTTTTTTTTGTGAGCTCTTCTAAGGTTTTTTTTATGTCAATTGAAAAAGAAGAAAAAGGGAGGGTTATTAAATTATTTGAAAAAAAAAGGGGGAGGGAGGGGTTCATTAGAGTATTTATACATAAAAAAATTGAATATATTTATATATATATGTTATTTTATTATAATATTAATTGTTATTACTAATTATTATTTGTTATTATAATTATAGTTTATTATAATTTATTATAGTTATTTTAGGCGTTTTTTTTTTTTAGAGTTTAAAGTTAATAATAAAAAAAAACAGGGCACTGGTTTTTGTGGTAAAATAAAATAAAATAATTTAATATAGTTTATAATATGGATGATGATGATGATGATGTTTGAATGAATATATGAAAGAAGAATTATAAAGTATGAATAAATAATATGTATGAATAATAAAGTATGAATAAAGTATGAATAAATATGAATAATATGAATACAAAACACAAAAACACAACAACAACAACAACAACAACACAAACACACACACATACATACATACACAATATATTTACACTATTTTTTTTAACTACACTTTGTTGATGATAGCGAAAGAAGAAAAAGAATGAATTTATGTTATGTACGTTAATTCTATTATAAATTATTATAATTATTATAATTATTATTATTTATTATTATTATGTATTCGTTATTATTTATTATTATTTATTATTAATAATTATTAATATTTAGTATAATTATTTATACTTTAACAAAAATGTATGACTAAATAAACTACAAAAAAAAAAAAATACACGAAAAATAAAATCATTTTATAATAAAATATATAATATAATATATACACACTGCTACTAATAAACAACCTTCTAAAATAAAATGCTTATATCATAATTATAATTGCTTTATAATAACCGACAATGTACGTTGTGGATGTTGATAAATTTTTATTTTTTATTAACTTATTATAGTTATTATTATGGTTATTATCATTATCATTATCATATCATCATCATTATTATTATTATTATTATTATTATTATTATTATTATTTGATATTTTATATATATTATAAATTTTGAATCCCTATTTTATTTTATTTTATTTTATTTTATTTTATTTTATTTTATTTTATTTTATTTTATTTTATTTTGGTTATTTATAATTTCTATATAAAAAAAATTGAGCCATAATAGTAAGATTGTCGTAATGATGATATAAAAAAATTAGAATTATTACTGACAAGAATTTACAAGAATTACCGAGTAATTACTTAATTACTTAATTATTGTAAATTATAGTAGTTAATTAATTAATTAATTAATTAATAATTATTTTATTATTATTATTATTATTATTATTATTATTATTATTATTGTTTTTGTTGTTTTGTTGTTTGTGGTTTTCGCTCGCGTGACTCGTAAAGAAATTTTAACAACATAAAAAAAGGAATTTTATTTCCTTTATAATCCAAGTCACAAGTCATTATCCCATCATTCAAATCATTCAAATCATTCAAATCATTCAAATCATTCAAATCATTCAAGAAAATAAAAATTTCTTTTTTTCTTTTCTTTTCTTTCTTTCTCTGGATATGGATTGAATAGTCACACACTAGTCAACTATAGACTGCCAATTGCCAATAGTGTATGGTTAAATTCAATCCAACAAAGCCTGGAGGAAAATCACACGCGTTCCATTGATATATCTATCAATAAATAGATTTTGCATGTTGCTATGTCATCAATTTTATGTACTGGTTCTATTATTAATTTTTTGATGACAAACCTCTTTCCTACTTATCCTTCATCATAAAATTTAGGAATAATGATAACATCAAAGGTATATGTGGTGCTCTGAGAGCCACATTCATTTAAAAAGGTTCTTGATTCAAACAATAATCTGTATAATAATATAATTATAAAAGAATTAACAACATGCATAACAATCAATTATAGAATTGACATAAAAAGTAATAACAACAACCAAGGGTTGAAGAATCATTAGTAGAAGTGAAGAGTTGAATAAATTTCCTAACTATTATTAGATTTCTTGGGCCAAACTCCAGGGGCTTGGGCCGGTAATTTTATCAGTAAAAAAAAAAAACAATTAAAAATGGTTAAAAAAGACTTGTCTAATCTGGTTTATATTCACGTGAGTGAAATTTTAGCTCGAAAAACAAAGAATTTATTTATTTATTGTTTATATAAAAAAAATTAATATTAAATAATTATAACAATTATAAGAAATAAAATAATTAATAATAATTAATTGCAATTGTTTCAATTGTTATTGTTATTAGATAATCAAATTATGATGTATAAACGTCATTCTTCATATGTTGTTGTTTCGCTTCTTCTTCTCCTGCTTATAATATTTGATCCATTTAAATCCTTCCATGCTTCCAATCTTTTATGCATCTAATCTCACCCTGTCTAATCTCACCCTGCCTGTCTTTCATCCTCCCTTCAAATAATTTATTTTCCACCCATTTATAGTAATTTATTCACAGTAATTTATTTACAGTAATTTATTTTCTTCCTATTATTTAGAACTTTTTTTTTTTCATTCATTCTGATTACTGTATTGTTCATTTTTTATTTTCATTTTTCATTTAATTAACATCACATTACCAACATTGCTTATCTTCTCTTCTGATTTGTTCATACCATTTATTTATTTTATTTATTTATTTATTTTATTGCAATTCAATTTCACCCCATCGTTTTTTTTATGTGGGTAACAGAAGTAAAACGCAATAATAAGTAAACGATGCATAATCTCTCTGATTCTTTTACCCATTTATAGACTAAATAATCTATTTCTTATTCCAATAATAGAAATGGTAATAATAATAATAATAATAATAAATGTTATTAGCTAATAATATCTAATAATACTTAATAATAAAAATTACTACAATAAGAAAGAAATTTCAAGATTTGGTATTTTTATTATTTGTTTTATTTGTGATGATGTCATTATAAATTATGTTCATTAATGACAAAGTACTTCTGAATGATAAAGCACTTCTGAATGATTTGTCAATTTTTGTAAAATCATTTACAGGTTTTTTTATACAAGATAAAATACAAGATAAAAACAAACACCAATACAACACCACTCATCACTATACGATGACAACAATGAAGACAAAGACGGCGACAACAAATGAAATAAATGTAATGTATAAATTAAGAATTTGATTTTGAAAAAAAATAAAATCAATTATTCTTAATATGATATTTTTAAATATAAACAATTAATTAATTAATTAATATTTTAATCATTAATCACCCCAAGAATATAAAATATTTATTTCATTTCTAATATATATATATATATATATATATTGCAATAGGAAATTTTATTTGATATATTGATTAAATAACCAATTAAAAAAAAATGTTTAAAAAGGTAAACTACAAAACCATGTTCCATTAGTGTATGCTAAATGGGGTATTTTTTTTTAATCAAATATAAACAAATAAATAAATAATTAATTAATATTTTAATAAATGTTTTAATAAATATTTCTAATAATTTTATCTATTTATTTGATATGTATTTGATATATATTTAATTAACCAATTAAAAATGTCCAATATATATACGAATGGGGTATTTTTTTTTTTTTGTTAAATAAATATAATCATTCATTACCCCCAAGAATATTAAAAAATATATAGTAAATATTTTCACTCATTTTAATATTTTTTTTGTAATAGGAAATTAAA